AGTGCCTCAGTACTTCAATCATAATACCGTATGGCTGGTAATTGTAGAGGGGTGCTAAGTTTTTAGTGATTGGTGTGTTTTAATTTGAGCATACCGCCATACACATAATGGTACAAAATGGCTGTCTTTATTTTGGCCAATAGCTTTCCCAACCTGAACTTGCAAAAGATTACTAGCTATTTAGTATGCCTTTATCAACCTCCATTCTAATAGTCTGGCCCCGCCTCTTCGTCACGCGGGGGATTCTGTAGCAGTGTCACCAGACTCTTCTGCGCCACCCCCCACGCGACGAAGAGGCGGGGCCAGACTACCATTCTTAGTGCTTTCTATCATACCCAATGGCAACAAGACCTTCTATTGGTCCCCTTGCTGGCAACCCTTCAACAATGGTATATCCTCCTTACACATTCATGCATATATTCCTTGGTATAATCATGAAATAAAATTAGAGTTACCTCGTTTGGTAGTTTACAGGAGAGGTAGTGTCTGAATGAGTAGGAGTCCTCCACGAAAGGATTGTAGAGGTTTGGTTGAGCCTGGCTAACGCTTCCATGTCTGGCTGGATAAAATGTATCACTCTTGGAGCTACTATTCCTTACGACAGCAGGAAGAAAGGAGCAGAAAAGAGTAGGAAAAAACCTACTCTCATCCTATAAAAACAGCTGAAGTTAAATTCATAATAAATTGAGTAAACAAAGAGTTAATTTTATGATGTTATGTAGGCGTGGTGTAAAGTGCAGTAATTAAAAATGGCGGATTTTCTGTCCAGCCTGACTAAGCAAATACTACTCAGAAATCTAAAGTTTTAAAGCTAAAACTCATCCTAGAAATTTTGTGGTACGTATCATAGTTTATAAAATGTTGTGACATGTTTATACATTGTAGAAGAAGACCTAGTGGTATAGAAATTGCTGAAGAGGCTAATTGTATTAATTGTAATGGAAATCTTTTACTTGAAGTGAGTAAGATTCCTGCAGATGTACAGCTAAAGGTAAGATTAGTTTTTACTTTTTTTAGAATTTTTGAAGTGTGTCAAGTTATGGTTTTGTTTGTTTATGATTTTTTCATTTTGTAACGTGTACCTGGGAGCCTGAATTACATTCAAACAATGTTTAGACATTGTGCCTGAATATTTGATCTGCCATTTTATGATGGTTTTCCACAGGATATTGGCGTAGTCCTTGTGCATCCTCAGGCTCTTGTCCCAGTACTTTAGTACAGGGTATTTAGCCAAAAAATCACAAAGAAGGAATTCTCTATTTTTACAATTTTTCCCAATGCATGTACATGTTTTTATATTGTGTAGAAAGTTTGAGCTTATTCCGATCAAATTTGGTTTTTTTACAAATTTTTAAAGTTGCTCAAAAATTGTGCCAAATTAAGTGTCCTTTTATTTTTAGGTGGTCCTCTTAGTATCAGTGGAGAGGTAGCTCATGCCATCAATCTCAGTGGACTGAGGGAAGTGTGTATTAGGAGAGTGGATAAAGATGAAGTGACACTTGATTTGGTTGAATTCATATTTTAAGTGAGTTATGAGTATGAACTCTAGCAGTGCATGTACAAGCATGTGTGATACAATGATACTATAATGAGTCAATGAGTCAATATTTGAAAAATTATAAATGAGAATATATATACAGTATCTTTATAAATTTAAATTTATAGCAATTATTATATTTAATATAATCAATTAATGCATTCTTAAAAATTGGTATACTGAAACCTAAATGAATTAATAAGTTTTAATATTCTACAGGCGATAGCAAACAGTGTACAGTATACATGTACATGTATAGTATCAGCATGGAGTACATGTACATTTATGTTTATTGCATTTACATGTTGTAATAGTAGAAACAAAAGGACAGGCATTTAATTTTTGTGTACCATTTAAGAACATTCTAGATTATTCTTTTTCATTTACTGGACTATTCCTTTGTTGTGTGGACTATTCTTTTTGTTTACTGGAACATTCTGGGCTAGAATGTTCCAGATTTGTACCTTGCTATTAATATGTGTGATTTTTGTAAATAGTGGGTTCCTTGCTTGGTAAAAACATAATATTAAACCACTTACTTCTGGTGAACACTGTTACACATGTAATTGTTGCTACATGTACAGTGTGCAAGTGTAATATTTATTGGTTCAATTGTATGTACATGTATGACTATAATATACATGTGGAGGTTTACCAATTCACTGGTATATACTGTACATGTATTCTCTTAACTCTTATTGACTCACAGATTGATAAAGGAATGTACATATCAAGGAAGCTATTGTTTGCTGGTATGCTGTTGAGAGTCAGTGGATTGTGGACTAAAGGGGAAACTGTCAAGAGTGGAGTGCATGGTGACTGGCTCTACCAGTGTGCATGAGAGGTTCATTAATAATTATGATTATTTTTGTGTGTATGTACATATGTATATTACACTCTGTTACTTTTGTAGACCTGTTTGATGCATGACATTATAATTCATTGACATTATTATTTTGCATGTACATGTACAGTACCGCTCAGCTATAAGTTTTCGTTTACACGCGTGATCTCCAGCTTTACCCGCGTGTGGCGCTCGTGAATTTTTTCTATGCACGTAGGCATGCGCTTGCTGCACGTGGGCGATCGCTGCACGTGCAGTGAGCGTGCACGTGCAAACGCACGTGCACGTGCACGGGTGTCAAAAAGTGGGTGGCCTGTAACTACCTACTATACTACTACTGGAGGAGCGGGACAAAGAATGGGAAGAGTTTCTGTCGAAACGAGAAGAAGAATAGTTCTTTTAAGAACTCATGGATATTCTCTTCAGTCAATTCAAGAGAGACTCGATCAAGAAGACATTATTATTTCTAAGACTGGAATCCAAAAGATCCTCAGGAAGTTTAAGGCTAGCGGTACCGTTGGTGACTTGTCAAAGAAGCGATCAAAGCTTCTTAATGAAGATCAGTTGGCGTTTATTGACGAGAGCTTGAAGAAGAACGATGAGATCACTGCCAGGATTCTGAGGGATGATCTTCTTAAGGAATGGCCAAGCCTCGCGGTGTCTATCAGTACAATTAAAAGAGCAAGATACCAACTGGGCTGGAGAGCTACTCGCCCTAAGTACTGTCAGCTGGTGAGAGAGGCCAATAAGACAAAGAGATTAGACTGGTGCAAGGACAGATTGATGGAAAATGAGCAATTTGACAATGTCATTTTTACTGATGAATGCTCAGTGCAGCTGGACAGTCATGGCCGCCTATGCTTTCGTAAGCAGAAAGAAGCCAGGAAGATGAAACCAAAGCCTAAGCATCCCATCAAAGTTCATATATGGGGCGGCATATCGAAGAGAGGTACTACAGAATTGGTAATATTCAAAGGGATAATGAAAGCTGAGCATTATTGTACTATTCTACAGGATGGCTTGCTTCCTTTCATCAGCAGCCACTTTCCTGATGGTGATTATCGTTTCCAACAAGATAATGATCCCAAGCATACTAGCCGCCTTGTGAAATCATACCTTGAGGATCATTCTATCAATTGGTGGAAAACGCCAGCAGAAAGTCCAGATTTGAATCCTATAGAAAATGTGTGGGGGTCGTTAAAATACTTTCTCCGCACCCACCATAAGCCAAAAAATTTGGACTCCCTTGTTAGTGGTATAGCTACATTTTGGAAAACTTTGACACCAACTGTATGCTCGAAATACATTGACCACCTGCAGAAAGTTATGCCAAAAGTAATAGAAGTAAATGGGGAAGCTTCTGGTTATTAAGTGCTATACCTAAAAAGTAGTGATTGATCCCGGCAGATGTGTGGATCTCAATGGAAATGCTAATCAAAACTGTTGATTGATCCCATTTGTAGAGTGGAACTCATGAAGTGATTGTCTTAAAAAAACAGGTAATGAGTGTGTAGTGTGCTTGTTGATCATTTAATATTGTTTTATCAAAAGGGATAACAATCTTGTTCAGAGCTATGAAATGGGTGTTACTTCAGCTGACCAATGAGATTGTGCTGCGTGAGAGCTACGTATAAAGTAAGTATATTCTAGCACATGTTATTTCTGTAAATTTTAGAAAAATGGCTGAAAATAATGAAGAGATTATTGAAGTCCATGTTGAAGGTATGCATGCCAAAATTGTTTCAGTTTTTACTGTTACATGCTATGAAGATAGTTTGGTAGAAGATGTGAAAGGTATAAAATATATACATGTATTATACATTAATTGTACATGTATTTGTGTATATTTAGAGAAGACTGAAAGTATGGCAAAGTACAGGCAGTTACAGCATTGTATTGATTTGTATAGAGAAAAAATTGGATAGAAATTTTACAAAAAAAGGTACATAATACATTTAAATGTACATTTACTAATTTTGCTCACAGAAGATGTAATGAGGAAAAGGCGTAAGTATGACACAAATTACCTGAAGCTTTACACGCTATAGCATGGAGACTATTAGAGCCTGCAGACTCTGACAAGGCTCATCAGGAGGATCAGTCTGCTCATCAGGAGACTGAAGAGCAGACTGATCCTCCTGAAGAGGAAGTAGTAGAGAAGAGATCAGGTACATGTGTTTAATTTTAAAATGTCTTAATGCATTTTCTTTTAGTGTGGGACAGGTTAGGGGAGAGGCCACAGCCAAGATGGCGACGACGCCAAAAGAGAAATAAATCTGTTTGTTAAATTTATTTTAATGAGTTACTACCGTTATTGTCTTCCTTTAGAAGGGACAGTCCAAGGCCACCAATGGTACATGTACTTACAATATAAAGTGTAAATATGTTATTGTAAATAACAAATATTAATGTATTAATTTTGAAAATTTGTGGGAGTGGTGAGGGTATGGTTAATGGGAGGGGTGAGGTGGTACTACCAAAGAAAGAAAATAAGATATCTTTATGATGTGCAAAGGAGATACTTTAGTGGAAGATGTAAGAGGCATAATTGTACATCCATCTGTATTATATTTCACAAGGACTGTGTACTGTATTCTAACAATATTTGTGTTGGAGGAAAATTGTAACAGAAGACAACTTCTTTTGTCAAGGGGGGGTTCCATGGAACTCCCTGTCTGTAGGCTGATACAATTACATTATGTTTTATAAAGTTTTATCTTTATTTTTCATCAAATCACATAACAACAAACTAAATCTTCTTTTTCCTGATAATTCCCCTCGATCCAGCATCTATCGCTCGTGTGCATTGTCTCCAAGCAGTATTCAGGTCCTCCCCCACTTGAGCTGGATACATGTAAAACGTACATGTTTTCACATATGTTATGATGTCTTGGTTTATAGCATCCTTACCCCTCGTTCCACTGACATTTTGTCTTGCCCACTCATCCTCATCAATTAGCTGAGAAATCAGGTTTTTAGAGAAGTTTGGTCGTGAAGAGCTGTTCCTTTTGATATAAGAAAGGTCTAATTGTGGTATTAGTGGAGGAAGGGCAGGAGGAGTTTGTTGCTGAGGAGTCTGGAAATTTGTAGTAGTTATAAATGGGTTGTGGAATGGGTTCGTGGATGGAGGATTTGTGGGAGTTTCAAACGGGTTCGTTGATGGAGGATTTGTGGGAGTTTTGAACGGGTTTGTTGATGGAAAATTCTCAAGAGTTTCCAATGAGTACTTTGATGGCCCATTAGTTGGAGTGCTGAATGGATTGCACGAGGTCAAATCATCCTTTACGATTGGAGGAGGGAGGGGAGGAATATCGTCATCATCATCACCACCATCAGTATATGTGTATCCATATTTAAAAAGGAATTTCTCCATTTTTTTAACTTTTCTTTCGATTCTTTCATTGCTAATTATGCATGAACATTTTTCCTATAAGAAACATGCAAAATTTTATTTAACTATTGATTATATTTTCCAATACCTTCGGAAGAAAATGATAATTGTCAATGATGTCGTGAGTTTTTGACGAAGGTGGTGGCGTGTTGTAGCTTGAATTCTACATAAATCAAGATACCAGTGAACGTGTTATGGAAGGTACATGCAGGAGGACATACAGAAAATGAAGTATTTGATGAAGAATCAGAATTAATTATAGTAACATCATGATCATCCTATATACATGTGTGTATAGACAATAAATGAAACAGGCTATGTGATAAAGAAGCTACAGCACAACTTACAGTATTACTGGTGAAAGATGGTTTGCTTGATTTCACAACGTCAATGATAGTAAATTCGTCCTGTATATACAAATGAAGGTACATACACATGTGAACTATACAGCTTACATTCAAAACTCTCTTCTTCTTAGCCCCTTTCTCATTAGATTTCCCAGCAGTATCAGTAACTTCATCCTGTATACAAATGAAGGTACATACACATGTGAACTATACAGCTTACATTCAAAACTCTCTTCTTCTTAGCCCCTTTCTCATTAGATTTTCCAGCAGTATCAGTAACTTCATCCTGTATACAAATGAAGGTACATACACATGTGAACTATACAGCTTACATTCAAAACTCTCTTCTTCTTAGCCCCTTTCTCATTAGATTTCCAAGCAGTATCAGTAACTTCATCCTGTATACAAATGAAGGTACATACACATGTGAACTATACAGCTTACATTCAAAACTCTCTTCTTCTTAGCCCCTTTCTCATTAGATTTCCAAGCAGTATCAGTAACTTCATCCTGTATACAAATGAAGGTACATACACATGTGAACTATACAGCTTACATTCAAAACTCTCTTCTTCTTAGCCCCTTTCTCATTAGATTTCCAAGCAGTATCAGTAACTTCATCCTGTATACAAATGAAGGTACATACACATGTGAACTATACAGCTTACATTCAAAACTCTCTTCTTCTTAGCCCCTTTCTCATTAGATTTCCAAGCAGTATCAGTAACTTCATCCTGTATACAAATGAAGGTACATACACATGTGAACTATACAGCTTACATTCAAAACTCTCTTCTTCTTAGCCCCTTTCTCATTAGATTTTCCAGCAGTATCAGTAACTTCATCCTGTATACAAATGAAGGTACATACACATGTGAACTATACAGCTTACATTCAAAACTCTCTTCTTCTTAGCCCCTTTCTCATTAGATTTTCCAGCAGTATCAGTAACTTCATCCTGTATACAAATGAAGGTACATACACACAAAGACCCGATACCAAGCTTACATCATTGTCCAAATATATTTGTTCTTTCATCATCATATCCTTTTCACTTCCTAATAAAACCATGATAACAAGAAACTGAAAGTCACATACTCACCTTTGTCGACTACAATGCAGGCATACTTCTTGTAAATGATTTCTTCATTTATTTCAATGGAACCTCCTCCTAATGCCTCCTCTGGTACCACGACGAGACCATTGTCTACTTTAAACTCCAGGAGGTAATATTTCTTTGAGCTGTTCGTTACAGTCCTCGTGGTCATACTGGCACTACAATTGTCGCAATGTCGCTACCACAGATGTTTAACAATCTGAATCAATCTCGCTTGGCAACTTTTCAGACTTAGTCTTAGCACAGCAACAGTGAGCAACCTCAGCTACTTATATAGGCAGCTAGCTGAAATACTTTTCACGTGGCAGTGAAGTGAGCATGTGTGGTACAGTATACTTACTTTATGAAATGCATACATGTATCCTTAGACATATCAAAAAATATATTAACACATTAAAATAATATGACATGCATGTATAAAGACCATGCCACTTTTACGTGTACTCTGCACTAGACTACACTTGTGCACCACAGAAAGTGATAAGCTACACGATTTACATGATAAATACACGATCCAGGCGCTACCTTGCACTAGTGTGCCTTGCGTGCATAGACTAGCTGCACCCGTGTCGTGTACACGTTAAGTAAACTTATAGCTGAGCGGTACTGTAGCCTACTAAACTAATACATGTACGGTAAACTAAGAATATTTGCTAAGTTTCAGTAAACTGTGTACAGTCACAGTTTCAGTGGATAACAACTTTTCAAACACAAAATAAAACTATTCTACCAAAACCAAAACTAATGCTAAAACTGTCACTAAATACTATTTCACTTTTTAGATTTCATACGTGTATTATTATGTGTAGCGAGCTACATATGGCTGATAATTAAAGTAAATAGATGAACATGTATTTGTTTATTTTATGATAGATACTTTTATAGTACATCCAAAAGAAAAGTCTTCGCAAGCCATTGTATGTACACATTGTTTGATATAGTGCTTCTAGTATAGTAATCAAGAAACATAACATTCTACATGTACAATACTACTGTTATTATTATTATCATTGTTATATAAATTAGGTCAGGTTCGAATAGATAATCATTAATACTATTATAATAATAATAGCACTATTATTATTAATAGATACATGTGCATGTATATACAAAGATACAATTACTCAATTTTAAAATATCAAAATCTTTTCAAAATTAATGATAAGCTTAAAGGGTAACTGAAATGATTTTTTGAGGTATTTATTTTATTGGCTTAATATGATTGCTTGGACTTTTTAATGAAGTGTGACAACTGCCATTGTTCAAAAAAATTATTCACTGAGATATGAGCTTTCAAAAATGCCTTTCTTGCTTCCTGCAATATTACTTCCTGTCTGTGAGCTTGGCTAAACATGACGTCATTTGGGGCAGATTGGTGATTAATCCATTCCTTTATAGGGGAAAATAATGCTTTATTCTCATGCCTAGTATTGTAGTAGCACTAGTTTAAAGATGGGGATCATTAGCTCTCATTCTAAGCATGCAACTGCAAGAAAATGTTAAAATACAATGAGTAGGTGAATCTTTTTCTTTGCTACTTGTAGTCTTTTTCTTGCAGTTGCATGCTTAGAATAATGAGAGCTAATGATCTCAGCCTTTAAATTAATGCTACTACATTACTGGGCATGAGAATGAAGCATTATTTCCCCCTATAAAGGAATGGATTAATCACCAGTCTGACCTAAATGACGTCACGTTTAGCCACACCCACCGACAGGAAGTAAAATGGCAGGAAGCAAAAAGGGCATTTTTGAAAGCTCATATCTCAGTGAATAATTTTTTTTGAACAATGGGAGTTGTCATACTTCATTAAAAAGTTCAGGCAATCATATTAAGCCAATAAAATAAATACCTCAAAAAATCATTTCAGTTACCCTTTAAAATTAGTGTTTGTTCAACAACACAAAACAATTAAATACTTGTGCTTCAATCTTCCTACAATACAAATACATGTAATATAGATTACTTAATTATAATAACAAGTAAAGAAATTACATACTGTTGTAATAGTTAATCAGGTAATCAATACTAATCGTCCAAAAGAATTATAGCCATGGACCATGGTCTATAACACAAAAATAAAAAACTATGGAATCTCACAATATTCTATCTTACTATGTATTCATTTGCTAAGACAATGACAATATGAAACCTGTGCAGCTAGAACTGGTGTCTCATCCAGTGTGAAAGCACCACTGATCAAAGAGCTACGACAAAACATTGTTACAATGATGATTATTTAAAAGAAATTAATTAAGTGACAACAAACGAAATCAGATAGTAGACTTAGACATTTACCATGCAATGAAAGTATTACATTACTTAATGCAGAATCAATAAATCATTTGCTGCTGAAAATACCTTAAAACAAAGTAAGAAAGAAACATCATCAACTGTAAGCAAAGTAAACACACAGGCTATGTACAAGTCTATGCATAATGTAACTTACGTTTGTCACAAACATACATTACAAACTACTATAAAGATACATCTACTCACAAAAAGGAATAACCCTTCACCTTTTAAATCCCTTGCCAAATCGGACCATATTCTCATCACATTAAAGTTCTTGTGTAAAATATGTTCCTGTTTAAATTGTGAATGTAAAATTATACATTTACTACCAAATTAACAGTAGCATACATGCATTTATCAACAATTAATATACATGTATGACATGTATAGCTCCACAATGCATATTAAGCTATGATTGACTCATACATACACTGTACATTTAAATTAGACATATACCGTTCAGTTTGCTGACTCATGCCATCCTAAATTAAGTTTCTTTTATGAGACATGCATTGTGCAAATATACATTAATAGACCCAACAAAACCATTCCAATATGCGAACGATTAATTATGTATTAATGAGAACATGCATGTACACAACAAAAGATGCATTTGCAAGCATTCATTTATATTGAGTAACGAAAGTACTTACTGTGGCCATAATTAATGATATAATCATTAAGCAAATATATAGTATGTAACCTAGAGTCATAATCTACAACAAAATATATTACTCTCCATCTTACTACATATTCCATTGCTAAGACTACAGTAATATAAAACCCATACCGATGTAACCTGGCACCTCCTTTCACGTGATACAACTACTAATAAAGGAGCTGCAAATAAACATTAAGTTACATTTAATAAGTAGGTAACTTAATTTAGTAACAACAATCTAAATACAGAATTGCCTTTTAAATATATTGCAAATTCCAATATCAAGCAAAAGTATTGCTGAGTCTGCAAATCATTTTCCAGCTGAAATTACCTCTAAAGCATAGTAATAGAAACATGTCAAAAGCAAGCAATGTAAACTCAAGGGCTAATGATAACTATAGCACAAACGGTAATGGTGAACAAACTTTATTACCAATCACATCAAACCTCAAAATTTAATACCACATTGTAGTCATTGTGCCAAGCAAGTACCTGTAAAAAGTATGAATGTGAATACTAACTAATAATGATAACGGTAGCATCTACATTGTTTCTGATTGGATCATACATTTATGTGAATGCATCTATTTTAGACATAACATATGCTTACTAATGGTATCCTCAATTACGATACTTTTGACATTCTTAATATAAAATAACACTGTATATAAACAATGTCCAATGTCCTAATAATATTATTTTGTTAATAAAAACATGCACATGTTAAAACAATCATCAATAAAAGATGCGCAACGTCAGCCGGCAAGCATTAACTTTATAATGCACACAGCATGATGGCAACATTATAATGTGTAGCAAGTACATTAGTCATTTGAGGAAAGTGATCCCAAAAGCAATTGAAGAAAATGGTGGACCAACAGGACATTGACCTCTTTCACACACACAACACATTCAATGGTTAAATTACATAGATTGTACATATTTAAAATTTTATTTTAGTAAAATAGTATCACTTTAAAATACTGATTTTTAAAACCATAAAATATATAACTATACAGCATTCACAAATCAAACCATAACAGTCTGCAGTTCCAGCAACACACAAGGACAATGTAAAAGCAAATAGGATAAGCATCATTATTATATACATTATAGAGCAGAGTACATGTACATCACTTCCACAAATGTTCAAGTATACAAAATTCACAAATCAAACCATAACAGTCTGCAGTTCCAGCTACACACAAGGACAATGCAAAAGCAAATGGGATATAATAAGCATCATTCTTAAACATTACAGCGAAGTACATTACTTTCACAAATGTATGTACTGGTACATGTGTAATAATCTGTAGGTACTATTACATGTATATACATGAATACAAGTACAGGACTAATCAATATGCAAAAATATACATGTAATGACATAAAATGTAAAATTCTATTATTATTGAACTGACAGAGCAATGTCAACTGAAACAAATGCAGACATAATTATTAGTATAATAACAAAATGTCAGGAAAGTTTTTTTAATAAATTACAAATATAAACTGTATTAGGACGATCACTCGATTTCTATTGAAGACACATCTTAACAAGTTCTTTCAGACCCTGAACTTCTAACTTTGCATTAATACTTGAGAATATTCTTCCAAAAGATTAGGTGTCAGACAGTGTCGATTGCTTACATAATCTATCACTAACATCAGGAGCCACGTGTGGATGATGCCTCTTATACTTATATCTCTCCGATGTTGATAGAGTATGTAATCTAGCATCTGCTTCAAAACATGCCTTCTCAAAATCAATAATAATAGGATTAAAACTTTCGTAGATTTTGTCTAAATTTACATTATCAGACTTTAAGTCATTGTGCAAAATAGCACCCTTTTGATGAGTTTGTATATACTTTAATCCTCTAGCAAATCCAATTGAAATATTTTTCCAGTTAATATGGTCCACTATGAATGTATCATCTTTAGACAAATCTTTAAGCAAAGAGTGAATCGAGTGATTTATTGTCGTTCAGATTACACGAGATTAAAATACAATTATATTCACCATCTAATGTCATTTTCCCAGAAAGTACTGGCAAATTTTCATGACAAAATTTCAAAAGAAGTAACACTTTGGTTTGGAACGATTGATTATAGATTGGTTCCTTTCAAATTGCCTTGATGCAGGCCTTTTGTGGTCCTATTGCTCCAAGAAAGCATTTTCCAAAAGCTCCTCTTCCAATTACTTGTGACTTATCAATTTTAACCTCACCCTTGTCAAATTGGCGAACATTATTTAGAGTACCACTGGGAATTACCACAGGGGGGAACTATTTGTTGACATGTACTGGATTTGTTTCTGCAAAGGGAACTAACTTATGTAGTAGGGGATTGTTTCTGCTTGGTCCCTCTAGCAGTTGAACTCAAACCACAAAGTAATGATCTGCAACAA